CTTTGTATTTTAGTTATTTGCCTGCTATGCTTGTTATGTTTTCTGTTGTGAAACCTTGGCAAGAATTTTATTTTGTACATTTGGACGGCGACTTAATATTTGTTTTAAATATTCCTTTTCACTTTTATTTTCTTCAATTAAACTCAAGTAACTTCATAATTTCAATACATTCAAGCACATTTGCTCGGTCGGGGTGATTGGGAGCAAGAGAGCGTTCTTGAACGTTCAGAAGTTTCCGAATAGAAGAGAGTACTTGTGAGTACTCTCCAGTGTTGTTGTAAGAAGTGGCAAAGTCAGAATTATTTTGAGGCAAATTTTTCCCATCAGCAGAAAGTGCTTTTTCGCAGAATAAAAGCCCTTTTGAGTAATTTCCCAAGGCTCTATAAACGTTGCTAAGATTGGTGTACAATGCAACAAGATTAGGATGATTTGTAGGAAGAGTTTTCTCCCAAATTGAAAGTGCCTTCTCGTAGAATGACTCTGCTTTCGAGTACTCTCTCATGCTGTTCAACGTAGACCCAATATTATTGTAAGTGATAGCCAAGTCAGGATGATTTTCGGGAAGAGTTTTCTCCTGAATGGAAAGTGTTTTCTCGTAGAACTGTAGTGCTTTTGAATATTCTTTCATGCTCTCATACACAGAGCCCATGTTGTTGTAAGAAGCTGTTAAAGTTGCATGATATTCAGGGAGAATTTTCTTCCAGATACATAATGCTTTTTCATGAAATACCAGTGCTTTCGAATATTCTTCCATTTTTTCATACATCGCACCAATGTTGTTACAGGTGGCGGCCATATCCTCGTGATCTGTAGTAAAAATTCTCTCGTAGATCGAAAGTGCTTTTTCATAATATCGAATAGCTTCCAAATAATTATTTTTATAGGTCTGGATGCACCCTAAATGATGATAATAACTTGCTTTTTCGATTTCTTTGGTTGCTTGCTGCAGCAAACCGAGATAAAGTTCTTCAGCTTTATCCAATTTCTGTACTTTGATTAATAGATTTCCTAGACGCTCCCATCCTGTACCACCTTTCAACTCTTCCTCAAACAGATCAGTGATGATACGCAGCTCTTTATCATCATCTGATGTCAATGTCAGATGTACTTCCAAAATTGTGTCACTGCCACGGAGTTTCTTGATCTCATTAATACGAAACACGGCGTTCATAGAAAAGAGAACTTCAGCTTCAGATCCGAAATGGCTTTCATCTGCTATATCAGCAAATGGCGTTGCGCTTACTTTAGGATCAATCAGCATGACGAAAAGAATACCAACTTTCTCTCGGTTCTGTGGAACACCCTCAGCAAACATGAGAGAAACTTCTCTGTCTTTGCTAGTGGAGAGAAAACAGTTAAATGACAGAAGGCCACCTTGAGCCTTCTGAATTTTTTCGAAATCGGCGCAGGAAAGCGCCTGCCCACGATAGAGAAGGAACGGTTTCCCTTGATATTGTCGAAGCTGTACTTGATGCAAGTCTTTGATCTGTTGATAAAGGTCTTGAATGAAAAAACCCATATTAACGATGATGTCAGCTTCCAATAATCGCAGACAGCGGTTAAGTATCTCGAAAATAAAAGGGTACAGACTATACCATAAGAGAGCATCACTTGACTTATAATTATGTTCGAATTCACTGATTTGTTGCAATACTCTGGCATTATCTTGAAATACACGACGGCAAAAACTCACAAAGTTTACGAGAGATTGTCGATCATGTTTCATTTGAACTATCGTATTCTTGAATAGCTGAGTATACATAAAAGATGGGTCCAGTTGATTGATATTCGGAGTAGATCTGCTCGCAACCATGGATAAGAAACTCATTGGTATTGAATCGTGATCATATTGTCTATTAATTTCTCGAATCGCTTCACAAATAGAATTAACGCAACTGTACTGTCCTCTGATTTTCGGCCACTCTTTGGTCCATTGTTCATTACAAGTTTGATCGTCACCGAAAATATAAATAGCATCTACTTGCATCATCGAATGGATCTGAGGAACAAAAACATGTCCAGCTGTACTCGATACAACAACAACTTTTTCCATTCGAACACCTTCAAGGAAACGTAGACATTTATCACGTTGCGCGAAGAAAACTACATGGCTGATCACTTTCTGCAATTGTTCAACGGTACGCTGAACATCGTACTCGTTTTCTTCTACCTTGTCATTCATCCAAACTAGTAGAGTCTTTTCTTCAGTTCTCTGTGCGAATATGTTGGAAATTGTTTCCTGTTGGACTGCATTCCTTGTAGACTGGGCCATTTTTTCTTTAATTTTCGTTGCAATGTTTCGATTATTGGTATAAAACAATGATGATCGTATAACGATTCTGCTTTCAAAACTAAACAGTATAAGGTTGCAATTGAAGACGTCAGTAACTACTAGGATTCGAATATGATCAACAATTCAATTGTCAAGAAGAAAATAAACTAAAACAGGCTGCGCAACGATCTGTTCTGTACTGTTACTATTTTTGTTCTTTTTTATATCCCTCGGCATCGCGTTTTTTTTCATCTTTCTCTCAATGAAAGATGTACTTTCACAACAACGCACAGTATTATTATTTTTAGTAAGAGCTTTGGCAACCAATAAGGGGTGTGGGGGTAGGTGTAACTAACGCAACATTTGTCACACAAACTCACACTCACATCCTATGATTACGTTACCAACTGTGTACTTAAACATATAGTACAGAAATTATCGGAAACTCTTCATATTAAAAAAAATGAAAATAGATGGGTGTGTGGTGTGGGTGTGGATGTATTATTCCTTTACACTCACACCCACACTCTCACCCACAAATTATATGCTTTTTCTTTCTTCTTATATATTTGTCCTTACATCTTACGGTTCATAAACTAATTGGCTGTTTTTCTTTCTTTTACTTAAGAACATTTTTCTGTTATGAGAAAACTATCCGGGTTATTTTCTTTTGTCCTTATTTTTTTCGTTCAAGTATTTCTTTTTAAAAAAGACTACGATCATTGCTTTTCTTTTACACAAACATCTCAACCAGCAGTACTTTTATTTAATTCACTGAATAAAAAAGTGGCAGCATAATGGACATTATGTAAATAAAAAAATTTCGTTTTTCTTCTAATGCATCCTTTACATTTTCAACTGTGTTTGATGTTCTAAATTATATTCAAAGACCGAGTGCATTTTGAATTTTCTTTCTAAATTTAATAGGTTGCATAGATCAAAACGTATGGTAATAATTGAAAAAAAATTAACGAGAACAATTTCAATTACTCTGTAGACTATGTAAAATCTATTTTTAATTGTTCTACTTTTGGAATCAGCACTGTAAGAGCTTGATGCCACTTTGATAAGGGAAAACGAGGTATCATTTGACTTTTTAATTTTGATTTCGATTAGAAATATTGTCATTTATTGGTTTATATTCTTACAATAAATAATCAAATTGATAAAATCTCTTAGCCAGGTTAGAAAAGACGGTCCAGAAACGGAACCGTTTACAGAACGTTTTTAGGCAGTTTCATAGAAAAAATATCCCAGGAAGAGAGTTAAAGGTTGTTGAGTAGAAACATACACTAACGAGGGAACATATTTAAGTGCCCCCCCCCCCCCCCCCCCTGAGAAATGGTTTTAAACCATTCTATCCTGTAGGGACCTTGATGTATATCATTAATATCAATATCTTAGCTGCTTTCGTTTAAATCTGAAAAAAATAGAGAATCAAACTTTTTTAATTTTTCATATACTACAGATATGATTATATATCATTTTTTCGTTTTTGTAAAATTTGTAACAATTATGATTTTTTTTGTATAATACAGTAAAGAATGAATACGACCTAATAGAGAACATATAATTTTCTGTTATAAATAGGGGTATCATTCATGTGTTTCATAGACAATTATATATCTGGATTATCACTTGTCATTCTAACAATTTAGTTAGAATGAATAGAAATTTTATTTCAGAGCAATTAGCCAAAATAATGCACAAAACATCAACTAGACAAACTAAAAATGCTTATGGTCGGCAACAAACAAGTGATGAAAACATAGAATTTCATCACACCAACTACAAGCTATACCGCTTCCCTCGTCACAATCAATGATAGAACATCTAGGGATGGGGTGTGGGTGTGAGTGTGGGTGTAGGTGTGGGTGTGGGGTGTGGGTGTAGAGTGTGGGTGTGGGGTGTGGGTGTGAGTGTGGGTGGGTGTGGGTGTGCGTATGGGTGTGGGATGTGGGTGCGTGTGTGAGTGGGGTGCCGTGTGGTGTGGGTGTGGGTGTGGATGCAGATTAGGAACAGAACAATACCCACATCCACACCTCTCACCCACACCCACCCCACACCCCCACCCCAACACCCACACCCACACCGACCCACACCCACACCCACACACCCACACCCACACCCACACCCACACCCA